CTGGATCATGGGTGTCACATATATGCAACAGTGTTTAGCTGTTCCTGAAATGTTTCCTTGTATAACGAGGAGTCTTTGATTTGAGGATCACAGCTTAAGGGGAGATCACGGAGCGCCGGTGCAGCTAGAGAGTTGCGATCCCTTCTTGGGTTTGGGGGCTCCTCCTTCACACGTCCTTGGATTTGATAAAACTTCTCAAGTGAGTTATTTGTGAAAGCTCAGTGGTTTCCGCTGGGAAGTTTGTCATTGAAATAGTGAAGATTAAGCCACCAGACCCCAAATTCTTTTGTTCAGGGTATTTGTTTTACAGGCGGGTACATGAACTTGAGCAAAAATCTGACTTAGTTCAACGGTAACCCATAAAGCAAGAGCAAAGTCTGAGATCTCTGACAGGTCTGATGGATTAGAGCATGCAAATTGTGTTGCCTTTTTAAAAAGAATGTTGTCAAAATCATATAAGTTAAGGGGGGCAGTGGTAGGCAGCACGTTTGCTGCCTTCCCCATCCCGACTTGATGATGAGAGATAACTTTCAGAGGTGAAGCATAAACCATAAATACACTTATGAAGCATTTCTACTTCAAGAGAACGTGGTCAGAGAACGACGTTGTCTGAAACACCATCTTGCTGAAAACCAAGTTCCAATCGCTCGTGTCTTACAAGTTGTTGCAGAAATTTTGTTCATACCCAAGGGAGAATAAGGGCAATAAACTACATTAAGCATTATTGCAAGGGGAGCACATATCTAGCATGGCCTAATAGGCTGATTTGGATTATATTGTCCTTTAGAGGGAGGCTGGCCACTCACCCAGGTTCGGGGCCACTTGAAATGTCCAAAGAAACATCTTGTCCAAGGTACGGGATGTAAGGATGGAATTAATTACACCTGCACAAAGCGTGGGACTTTGCAACAATGCCACAAAGTTGGAAAAAAAGCCAGAAATCCCCGTTAAAACTAGGAAGGATGTCCCTGTTGGCCGTCCCGGGTAATTTTTGGAGGGAGCTAGTTCCTCCTTCCCGTCTCGTGCTGCTTTGGCAAAGCCCGCGGAGTCCTTGGCTGCGGTTTCTTGCTGGTGAAGCCAACTGCGAGGGAGAGCTCCCCTGCCCGAGCCTTTTCCATAACTCACCTGTAACTCTCCCCTGGTGCCCACATGGGCAGGGAGATCCTCCTTCCCTTCCTAACGGAGCATGGAATGAAGCTCGGAAGGTGCCAAGCTCCATGCTGAAAGTTGAAGACCCCACATCACCCCTGCTGGCAGCAGATGCAGTGGTGCTTGGGGAAGCACATGTACTATTTTCCTCTATAAAATGCAATTTTATTGGAATTTACAGCAGTTTTTAAGCTTTGCCCTCTCCAAATTAAAGTGATGTACACATTCTAGGCTATTGCTCTGTCTGCAATATATTCTTCCATAGATTTCTTTTTACAGGGGGTATTTAGGGTGTGTTTAGCACCTCTGATCTAAAAATGCCCTTGTGCCCCGTGGTTGGGTGTCTCCTCTCCTGTGAGGCTGCAGCAGTGAGTCTGTGCAGGCCGTTGGCTTTCTCAGAGGTATCTTTAAATTGAAACGTCCTCTAGAGGGGCCGGGGGCCTTTTGGTGGCAGGAGGGGACTCCGTGAGTGGGGATTTCTGCCAGCGTCTGCAGGACGCCTGGGCCCCAAAAAGCCAGGAGTCTCATGATGATCATCCAGGGCTACTGTGGAGCTTTTCCTTTTTCCAAGCGGGCTGATATTCAGGAAAACTTGCAGAGGGCCGAGCAGCTGTCCAAGCCGCGGCTCGTCTTTATGAATTACGCACATACTTTCGCATCTCCCTGACCTTTGGATTTGAGTGACATTAACTGTTCTCTGTTTTTCAGGCGATGACTTTTCCTTGATACAGCAGGAAATATATATGGTGAAAGAATGCAAACATTGCAACATCGTAGCCTATTTTGGGAGCTATCTCAGGTAAACCTCAACTTCATAACCTGCATTTCCATTGATTCCTTCCTAAGGCAATGCTCTGTCTGGCTTATTATAATTATTAGCATTATATCCGCTCTTGCTGTGCTTCTCTAGGTTGGATCCCCTTCAGTTCCCAGCTGACATTAAAAAATAAAGTGACTAACACTTCGCTTTCTGTGCTGGCCAAAAGGCTGGAATACTTTTATCACTAGGAGCAGAAAGAAACTTTTCCCCTAGGGACTCTTACAACATGCCCAAGCCTACTCACTTCCTGGGCAGATTTGAAATGTTTACCACTCCTAACATAAAATAAGCTCGTTATTAATGCTTGTAGGTATTTTATTTAATGGCAGTATTATGTGTTGGGGAAGCGTAGCAAGCAAGCTGTAAGAGCAAAGATCTCCGAGTCTGGGCTGCTGGTGGGAGAGCTTTTCCATAGCTCTGGTGTGACGGATGCGACCAAGTCCGGAAAGGCAGAAGCAGAGGGATGCCAGCTGGCTGCCTCCTCAAGGACACGCGCTGAAAGTTATGCAGAAAGTTGGCAAAAAGATTTTCCATATCTGTGGAATCCTGCCATTTATCAATAGGCTCCTGGGGAATATATTTCACCACTTCTCTCATTTGGTCTCTTTCTACGAGGCTTAATCTTCAGATTTCTTGCAGGATTGCGTTTTTGCAGTAAGTTGAGCAGACCAAGTGGTCTTCAGCTGGAGGGAGATAGCTAAATTCCTGCATCCCCAGCCCCGCTTTTGAAAGCCAGGAAGAATTTCTTAAAGACAGTTTAGATCGTTTAAGATCCAACCTGTGAGTTAATATATTTAAATCATGTTATCTTGCTGATAATCTCTGGTGTTTCTTCTCTGTGTTATTTATTGAAGCCAGAATGTCGATGTTAAAGCAACATCTCTTAGATTTGATCAGCTGATGGAGACTTGTCTATGGCTGACACAAATCCTCACCTATTGGACCGAAAATGTTATGTTGAGATTCTTTATTACATAAAATGTGTAACTGCTCATGATACATTGGAATATCTATTTTTAATAAATGCCAAAGAGTGATTTAAATGGTCATTATTAGCTCTATCCTGCATACAGCTCAGCCAGCCTCTGATGCGTGTGTTTAACTCTCTCTTGACAGCCGTGAAAAGCTGTGGATATGCATGGAATACTGCGGTGGCGGATCCCTTCAAGATATTTACCATGGTATTTTGAGACTTTTGACTACAGTTATACTTTTTAGAAGCTTTTAGCAACAAAATAAGTTTTGTTGAATGCCCAGCAGCATTCCTTGGCTTGGGGCAACCAAGCGCCTTGGCAGGTCGGGGCAGGGATCGATCATCTTCCCCCTTTTCAGAAGGGGGAAAAGAGCCCCCAGAAGTTCTCAGCATCATCAGGCTAATTAGGTGTGGAGGCCAAAATATTGCTAGAATAAACCTATGCGATAAATCTGGCCAGTGCTGAACGCAGAGCTCAAATCTGTGTTGCAGACCTGTGGCCTGTGTGTTAGTCCCCAGCCAGAAAGGATGCGAAGGGTCAGGAAGCTGATTTTGCTCTAAATTTCATTTTTAAAGGATGAAACCAACTTGTTATTCCTGTCCCTGTACAATAGCCTGCCACTCTTGTGGCTATTTTTACTTCTGGGATGCCAAGTAGAGCTGTTCATTCTTAGAAAGATTTATTGGAGAGGTTGGAAAAGCAGCCTGGGAACTTCCTCTGCCTCCAGCTGATAGCACAAAGTTCTCGAATCCCAAAGCTCTTTCTACTTTATTTATACTAAATGGCTGAAAAAATGTTTTAAGACGATTCTAAGTCCCATATCCCCCTAACTGTTCACATTCTTAGTACTGAGAAATTAGCAGAAGTCATTTCTGTTGCTTTTTACCTCACATATGATGTTAGACACTGTATTATTACCAAGACATCTGTAAAATGATAATTAGATTTCGACCAAAACAGATTTTCTTCTTGCTATGAATATTGTATTCTGTTATTGCAAAAGACAGAAGAAAAAGATGATGGAAAGACTTTCTGTTTAAAACAAAAAACACTTTTCAAATCAAATTAAAATATAGTGCATGTAAAAATGTTTAACTTTAAAAGATATCTCTTTTTTTGCCTGTTTCACAGCTGTATTTATACAGGGAACCCTGTAAACTTACAGACTGTTTTACCTTTGTTTCCAGTAACAGGACCTCTGTCAGAGCTGCAAATCGCCTACGTGTGCCGGGAAACCTTGCAGGTACTGTGCTCGTGTGGGGACACGGGGGAGCCTGGGGCCAGGCACCAGGAGTGGATGGAGCAGATGAGCAGATTGGGGCAAGGATGCTCTCCTGGCACTTAGTGTGAGCACCGGGTGCCTAGGGAGACCAATTAACTCAGGTTAATCTGCTTCCATTCTATATCAACAAAAACCAGGGCACATACAGTGACACAGTGCAAATACTTGCTTGAATCTCTGCCGAGCAGCTTTTGTCTGCCCCTCGTGCCACAATTAGCAAAGGAGTCTACACAAGAGCAGAAGTCGCTGATGATCCCAGAACAGAATCCTAAAATTCGGGTCACCTATGGGAGGTGCTACCTCTTTCCAGGTTGTGGCCGCAGAGAGGTCTCAGCTTTTTGCACATGTTGTTCAGTGCAGTGGTTTTGGGACTGATTTTTGAACCCCGTTGCAGAAAACAGCCCGTGCCTAGTAAGCAAGAGCAATAAAAGCCCACACCATGGCAGTAACTTCTAGCAATACATGGAAGGAGAATATTGCCACCAGACAACTGAAATTCTGTTCTGCCTTGTGATTGCTGATACCTGTAGAAATGCAAAATAAGATGATGCAGACAGCTTGTTCCCTAAGGGAGCTTTTCTCTCCCTGCTCTTTGTATCTGTGAAGACTCCCACCTTGCCCTGAAGCGCTGGGTGCTCCTGTCCCTGCCCGAGGCAGGTCCTGATCCTGATCTGCCTGCTCCTGGTCTCCTGCTGCTGCTTCAACTTGTCCTGCTCGAAGGGCGACTTAAAGGCTGAGTCTTCAGGAGAATGATTAATTTTAGCAAGGGCTAAATGTGCTGTACCTTGAGGTTAGGTTCCAAAATGCACATCTCTCCGTGGAAAATGTTGCACCGTGCCCTGTTGAAACAAGTCTTCACATGCGTTTGTTGGTGCTGGGAGAGAGGAGGAACCAATGTATTTCTTACTGCAAATCTCAATTTTCTCAACTTCCAAATAAAATAAATTGAGTAAATTACATTTATTACATATAACCTGCTTTGTATTATGTTAGCAGATGGCAAAAACTGTTTCTTTCTTCTTATTATTTATTCATGTATTTATTTTTACTTCCAGGGTCTTGCTTATTTGCATATGAAGGGCAAAATGCACAGAGATATAAAGGTAACCTGAAGATGTGGGAGCTTATCTCAGATTTTATGATGCAGGAGAATTTGCTGATACAGCATTTTAACTTTCTATGCATTGCGTTTTAGGGTGCAAATATTCTACTAACAGACCATGGAGACGTCAAGTTAGGTAAGCTGCCCGAGTTTCCTAATAAGACCAAATGAATATTTAAATTTAACCAAGAAAAGTCTGAGGTCTGCAGTGAGGGCTTGGGAGAGGTTGGTGTTACCCGCTTCCTCCAATAACACTTCATGCTTGATGAGGCACAAACCAGCTGAATCTTTAACAGCTGAAGCTTAATGCATTTTTCAGTTGGATTAGAAAAGTGAGGGTTTTTTGTTTGTTGTTTGTTTTTATAATACTGCACTTCCTAGAGTGGAATTGGAGAATTAAGTGAAAATCAGCTTTCTAAGAATGTGATATTTCCATTTTACAGCGGACTTTGGTGTAGCAGCAAAAATAACAGCCACCATTGCGAAGAGAAAATCATTTATTGGGACCCCTTACTGGTAAGAAACCGCTTTGATTGCTGTGATTGCAAAGCTGAGCTGTGCTTACAAATAATACCAGGAATTTGAAAGTGCCCACACTGAAGTGAAGATTTATACACATCTATAAGTAGACACACGCATGTTTTTAAGCTCATACACTTCGTTGCACAGATTCCCTTTCTTCCAAGCAAAGTGCCCAAGAGTGCATATGCGTAGCTGATCTGTTAGTGTGGGACAGGATTGCCACTTCTCCCCAGGCTGTTAATGCAGAACATCCAGCCCCTTTTCTGGACACCTGATGGTAATTTAGTTCTCAGTTGTTTCATTCCTTCATTACTCGTGGGAGTTCTGCAGAAAGAATTGTGAAGAAAAACAGATTTAAAGCTTGCTTTAATCATCTCCACTGCAGAAATTCTGCACCAGGCAACATTTAATAGTCTGGCATGTCGTGGTAGGCCTTGGGCTGGGTGACACGTGCAGATTTCACCGCTTTTGCGTTCCGGCGGTGCAGGATCCTCGGCGCGGGCTGCGCGTGGAGCCGGAGCTAATCCGGCAGCGCCTCGGAATTGCCTGCTGCCTCCTTGTCCTGCGGGCAGGGGATTATCCGCTCATTAGGGCATGTCACCAGCACTCAGGAGACCCTGCTGCTATTCCCGGCTTGGCCGGCGAGTTCGTGACCCGCGGCAAAAAGTGTCACCGCCGCCGGGCGCTGCGGTGG